CCACAACGCCCGGCTATTTTTTGGTTGCAGCCGTCATTGTTGTTTGGTGGGTCTGGGCTGGGGATACGAACCCGGGGTCTCTTTCTTTTGCTATTGCTCAGACTGGCCTTGAATCCATGAGCTCAGGCAATCCACCCACTTTGGCCTCCCAGAGTGCTAAGATTACAGGCATGAGCCACTGCACCTGGCTTCTTGTTTGTTTTTAAATGCACCATTCTGATGATTTTAAAAGAAAGCAAACTTTAAGAAACTAGTCGAAGGCAAACACAAAATTTCTTTTCAATTATAGAGAATTCATATGGGGATACTGAAAGATTATTATGGGCCAGGCACGGTGGCTCATGCCTGTGATTCCTGTATTCTGGAGGGAATCACTTGAGGTCAGGAGCTTGAGACTAGCCTGAGCAAGCAAAACCCCATAAAAATAGAATAAATTAAGGGGGTGTGGTAGTATATGAGAGGCTACTTAGGAGGCTGAGGTAGGAGAATTGCTTGAGCCCAGGAGTTTGAGGTTGCAGTGAACTATGATGATGTCACTGCATTCTACCTGGGGCAACAGAGTGAGACTCTAACTCAAAAAAAAAAAAAAAAAGAATATTATGGAGGGCATATCCCTAGAGTAAAACCTTACAGAAACATAATTTATAGGATTTCCCCTGATAGCCATTACACTGAGATCATCTTTCATTTGGACTAATACAGTTTTTGTATTTTTTTTTTTTTAAGACAGAGTCTCACTATGTCACCCTTGCTAGAGTGCCGTAGTGTCACAGCTCACAGCAACCTCAAATTTTGGGGCTTAAGTGATTTTCTTGCCTCACCCTCCCAAGTAGCTGGGACTACAGTTGCCTACCACAACACCTGGCTATTTTTTTGTAGTTGCAGTTGTCACTGTTGTTTGGTAGGCCCAGGCGGGTTTGAATCCGCCTGCCCCAGTGTATGTGGCCGGTGCCCAAGCCACTGAGTTACATGTGCTGAGCCAGTACAGCATTATTTTTGACCACTGAGGTTATTGCTGTTTTTACATGCAGTCTATTAAAAAGGTAGAAACTGGATCTCTCCAATTTTTCTTTTTTTTTAAAATGTTATTTATTTATTTATAGACACAGAGTCTCACTTTGTCACCCTCAGTAGAGTGCTGTGGCATCACACTGCTCACAGCAACTTCCAACTCTGGGCTTGGGCAATTCTTTTGCCTCAGCCTCCTGAGTAGCTAGGACTACAGGCACCTGCCACAATGCCCGGCTATTTCTCCAATTTTTCCTGCATTTTTGTTATTGTGCATGTTCTTGTCTGATGTTGTGATTTATGTCTTGCAATGAGTTCCAAAAGAAACCTCATATTTCTGGCATGGGGCTTGAGCATCGTTGTATTCGTAGAATGAGGCTCCTGGCTATCATAAGACTCTGGAGACACAGGTCTGACCACATTCAGGAGGAGGAAAGGAAAACCTGAGGTGTCCCTGAGCACATAAATAGGATACTGTCTGGAAACTTATGCTATTTGGTATCTGCGGCCATGAAAAGCCAGCTCTACGAATTATGTAATTCATGTCCACATAGTCTATGACAATCTCATCCTGAATAGAAATGAAATATGCTGAAATCCTAAGGACTGCTTCATTAAGGCCGGGCATTTTGTTCCCACATAGCCTCTACTTAAGTCGCTGTGCTTCTTGATACGTTACAGAGCTCAACCTTCCTTTCCGGTCTGTGCCCTGGCTCCCTTTGGACTGCTGGTTGTCAGTCCTTGGATGGTCTATAATAACTATCTCTCAGATTGACTAATTCCATCCAGAAAGAGGTGTTAGATGAAGATGCTGACTTTATTTATTTTGAGACAGAGTCTCATTATGTCACCCTGGATAGCATCTCAGTTCACAGCAACCTCAAACTCTTCAGCTTAAGTGATTCTCTTGCCTCAGCCTCCCAAGTAGCTGGGACTACAGGTGCCCACCACAATGCCCAGCTATCTTATTGTTGTTGCTGTGGTTGCAGTTGTCATTGTTGTTTCAGCTGGCCTGGGCTGGGTTTGAACCGGCCAGCCTCAGTGTATGTGGCCAGCGCCCTACCCACTGAGTTATGAGCTATGGGAGCCGCATAAAATGCAGACTTTAAAATAAAATCTTAATCCAGGCATATTAGATTATGTGAAGCAGCTTTTGAAACTGCAGATACCGTTTTTGTGACTGACAATTACAGCTGGCCACTTATAATTGAGCCTAGGGCTTAATACTGCATGCCCTAGGGTTAGTCCTCAGGGTGTGTCCTTTCCAGAGGTATATGATTATTAATGCTCCTGAGTGCTTTTTAGTTTTCTTAAACAATAGAACATTTTCCAGAAAGCCCGATTCCTCCTAACAGCTGCCAGCAACTACATTCAGCTGTGGCCACTGAACACAGCACATAGTACATACAGAGTCCCCTGTCACTGGCACTTAGGACTGTCATGTCCGCAGGTGACTCAGAGTGACAAAACTCTTTCCATCAGAGTAAATGATAAGAAGAACTCAGATAAGTAGTCCCTACTTAACAGTGTTCTTTAAATGAACATAAAACCTAACAGCTGAATTCTTTCACTAATCTACCTTATCTGCCTGGTTTTGAAATGGAAACATCCCTGCTTTGGAGTCTGAGTCTGAAAGCTAAGGGTGTTTAACACTAAAAAACTAAAGTCCAAGGATAGCAAGGGTATTAAAAGCTAGGTAGGTGGGACAGATATAATTGTTTTGTATTCTTCCACAAATTTTCCATTCCTCCTTGAGAGGGTCTTATTTGTAAATCATTCTGTCTCTTAAACTCACTTGTTCTTTCATTTCTGATTACTTCCTAAATAGTAAAGATAATAAATTTTCACATGAATCCCACAAGGCAGATATTATTGTTGCCCCCACTTTATAGAGAAACAACTGAAGATAAGAATAAGTTTAAGGTCAGGTCTGGCTTGAAAGCCTATGTTCCTTGGTGCCATGTCTTTGGTCCCAGTAGCATCCTGTCCACTGGTTCTGTTCTCAAGTGCTGGAAACTGGATATAAGGAAAAGTCAAGCCTGTGCTAATGCTGGCACCACCACACTGTGCTCCCCTGCCGGGCGTGTTCTGAGGCAGGAGGCAAGTCTGACCTGATAAGCTCCTGAGTCTCCACGTGGGAAATGCTGCGTCATCAGGTTACTCTGATTTGTTAAGTCCCCCCTAAACCCTCTCTTGTGGGGTAGCCCTCCAGTTTACTCCTTAGCGTCCTTCTAAGGCTATTTCCCAAAGTTGCTTGATGACAAGAATTAGCTGGAATACTTGTTTAAAATGTGGCTTCTTAAGATCCTATCCTTGGTGACTCCGATTCACTGAATCTGATGGGGTCCCACAAAATCTGTATTTTTAACAAGTGACCCAAGTGATTTTTCCCATGGTCAAGTTTGAGAAACATTACTCTAGGAATTTTAGCCAATGGGAACAAACACTATTGGTCTTAGGTACTATACATCAAGTCAAAATGCTACTATTAAAATGCCATTAAGTGGGTATTTCTATAGCTGAATTAACTCAAGGCAGTCAGGACACATAGCAGAGTGGTGTTTGGTTTTTCTTTTCCCCAGGAAGAACTTGAGGGGTGGGTTGGAATGTCTTTTGTGGTTTTCTTCTTTTTGAGTGATGACTATTAGAAAGAATTCTTTAATGGCTGTGCCCTTGAGGAAGTGTCTGCATTGCTTTGGTCATGGAACAGCTTACATCAAATAGAAAGTAAGCCTTTTTATATCATTCTTTTCATAAGCCCCGCCTAAGAGAATTTTGGAGGAGAGTGAATTAAATAAAGAGGAGAAAGAAGTACACAGTTCTCATTCCTTGAGGGCCCCTAAAGCAAACTCCCTGTACTTAGAGAGAGGGAGTCAGGCCTTTCAACTTAAATATTTATGAATCATATACAGAATGATTTAGGAGTATATTTTGTAAGGGATTAATTCAATTTACATAGTTTAATCAGAAAGCAGAAATGATCTTTGACACTCAAAGAACTCAAATGCAAAACTGTTATAACTCATGATTATCAAAATATTGTTTCAGGTAAAAAAAGATCTCAAACACGCTAATCTGCTCTGACATTATGATCACTGCTTGTCACAAATGAAGTTTCCACCTGAGGGACCACTCAAAGCCAAACTTCAATTGCTATATTTAAGAGTAAGTGGCGGGAGGTGTGGGGGGGGAAGGAAGATAAAAAGTAGAAATAATATTAAAAGACATTCAAGGGAAGAGAAAGGAAACTGGTTCTTTCTGTACTGTGGAACAGTACTGTGGAACCTCATTTTTTGGGGGGTGGTTTGCAAATCAGTAGGAGAGGCCTAGATGCAACTCTGAGGCACCAGACGTACATACATACCTCTTGGTGGGAGTGGGCACTCCAGAGGACATGTGGCTAACCATAGTGTCATTCATATTAGTCAGAGGGCGAGGAGGACTGAAAGAAAAGACATTTACCTTATATTAATAATTACCAACACAACTAGGGGAAACAAGTGAAAAACTGATAAGGGCAAAGGAACCAGCTATCATTCCTGATAAGCACAGTGCAACTCATGGGGAAGGGGGTAGAAATTGACACTTCAAGCTGAAGTAAATTCAACAAGAAGGGGTTTTCTCTCACAAAGCCACAGGACCATAGTGCTGTGGTATGTCAGGAAAACAACTAATTATAACCTCACTACTACCGGACTTAACTTTGGTGGCTTCTGCTTTGTCATTTTAGTACGTCAACATCTCAATTCTGAGACAGTTAATTTCACTACATTTTCAATACAGGATTACTGGGTGCTTGGCGTTCATGTATATCACAAAAGTACGACATAGGTGCAACCTTTTCCCAAGATCTGTCAGAGCTTACTGCCTTCCCTCAGACTCAGCTTGCAATTTTTTTTACTGAAATACTTATACTGTTAAATGCCAAATTAAAAAATAAGACTCTGGAAAAAGATGCTTTTACCTATCTTTATTGGAATCTTAACAATGAATCTAAATTTTATACCTATACTATAATTCTTCGGTCCCCAACCCCCAGGTTGCAGATTGCTCCCTGTCAGTGGCCTGTTAGGAACCAGGCTGCACAGGAGCTGAGAGGCGGGCAAGTGAGCAAAGCTTCCTCTGTATTTACAGCTGGTCCCCTTCACTTGTATCACTGCCTGAGCTCTGCCTGTCAGAGCCCTCTACACCAGCTGTGGAAAAACTGTCTTGGATGAAACTGGTCCCGGATGCCAAAAAGCTGGGGACTACCACCCTAATTGGAATGCTGTCTTTTACAACCTAATCCAAATTTAAATTTGAAGGTAAGCGGTTTTTTGTTAACTAGTCTTAGGCTGATGGTTTTTCAGGCTCAAGGTCTCTTATGAGTCCCTAGAATAAAAGAATTCAGACTTAGTCAAAGGGGTTTATTATCTAACCTTCCAGCCATTCTTCAACCCCTCTCCCTCCATACCAGAAAAGTTTCCGTCTTGCACCTGAAGCCACATGACCACTACTACATACTTCTCCTGAGAAATCTGTTATTTCCTCTTTTAAACTAGAAGAAGTATAGTCATGCATCATATAACGTCATTTAGGTCAATGATGGACCCCAAATAATAGATTATAATATTGTGTTTTTACTATACCTTTTCTTTGTTTACATATGATTAGATACACAAATACTTACCTTTTTGTTACAAACATCTCCAATTCAGTGCAGTCACCTGCTGCCCAGGTCTGTAGCCTAGGAGCAATCAATAGGCTAGAACATATAGCCTGGGGTGGAGTGGGCTAAACCATCCAGGTTTGTGTAAGTACACTCCATGATCTTTGCACAACACAAAATTACCTAACAATGCATTTCTCAAAACATAACCAATTTCATTTCTAGGTAGGAATTTTATTTGTTTATTTATTATTTCCCATCTAACGGACAGGATCCAAGACAGAAAGTAATCTGTAGGCAACAGATTTAGGTCTCTTGACTTTTAAGCCATAGTTAATGCTTATGGTTCTACATTCCTACCATTGTGTGACAATTCCAAAAGACATTCAGAAGCGAAACATGCCTTTCTAGGCTAGAATTCAGTTCTGACTTATTTATCTGACTACCTGTATTCCAGACAGATATCCAATTATGTCCCCCAAATTTTCAAGTCTATTAATGCTAGTGATTGCTATTATCAATTAATCAATTGTTTTAGGTTGATTAATGATAGAAATGAACACAGATTAGCTACCTTTTAGTCTTAAATTTATATTTTTGCCTCTGGTTCTTTCGAATGAATTGGCCCACTGGACCCAAATCAATCATAACAGCTTCCTGGTCCTGGAAATAGACTGGGCTTTCTGTCTTTAATGTTTTTATTATTATTAGATAAGGACATTTTCATAGTGCTTTCAGATTTAGTAACAGTTATCTAGTATATTTCAATATTAAAGACAGGACTGAATTAAAGTTTCTTTCTGACATTCTCAGAGAAAAAATGACAATAAAATTTTTTAATTCCTTATACAAGGATCCATGTAATAAAATTTCATGATTTGCAACATTTTGTTTGGTCTGACGCCACAGAAGTTTTTATAATCATGTCCATGTCTTGGCAGGAATCCTGTTAAACTATTAAGGCACATACGTATCAAAACCTCTTTTCTAATATTCAAACCAGACAGTAATGATTACATTATAAACCATAAATGCATTATAACTGGCCCCCAAATAACACACCCTTTCTGAAGTCCTACCATGTTTTGCTGGCAGGTGTATGTTTGCAATTCAAGATAAAGGAGGTATTTGCAAACTTAAAAGTCTTTAGGACAGGATCTCTGTAAGAGCCACCATTTACTGCACAGCCAACAGCTCCGATGCATTCTCAGATGCAACACATCAAAAAAAATGACTGTTCACACAAAACCAAAACAAAATAAACTTTATGGTTCTTCTAAGACACAGATGAAAAGAATATTTCCAGGTGTAATGCTGACATTAATGACACAAGTTCAAGAACCCTAAAAAGACAGAAGTGTCATAACTCATCATATTAGTTTTGATCTTTAATATTTAAGACCAGTTGAATACCTTGAAAATGTCACCAGATGTTCTATAGCTTCCTTTGGTGACTAACTCAGCAAGTTATCTTTAAACACTAGTGAGTGTCCTGATACCAAATGGTCACCAACAATCACTTGGCCCAGAAATCTGGGAGGTTCCTTTGTTAAGAAGACATGGCAGGCTGGGCACCCGTAGCTCAGTGGTTAGGGTGCCAGCCATGTGCTCTGGGGACTGGTGGGTTTGAACCCAGCCTGGCCTGCTAAACAAATAAACAAAAAAAGATAGCCAGGTGTTGTGGCACATGCCTGTAGTCCCAGATACCAGGGAGGCTAAGGCAAGAGAACTGCTTGAGCCCAAGAGTTGGAGGTTGCTGTGAGCTATGATACCATAGCATTCTACTAAGAGTGACAAAGTGAGACTCTGTCTCAATGATTTAAAAAAAAAAAAAAGACATGCCAATTTTTGTTTTCTTCCAATGAGGAGATAGAAGCAGATGGATAATACACAGAGAAGATAAACTGCTAGTCAGAAGGGGTGGTTTTTAAAAGCCTTCGAGTAAATCTGTTACTTCTTAATTAAAGGGACAGAGGCACTGTTACTGGGAGCCTACTCATAAAAGCTGAGATTATCTCAAAGACCTAACTACATGTACATGGAAAGAAATATGCAAACAAATCATCCTAATGCCATGTAGTGGGTGTGTGGAGGGTCAGTGGACTACAGCTGACCCTCCATGTCTGTGGGTTCAATCAACTGCAAATGGAAGATATTTGGCAGAAAAAATTTCCAAAAAGCTTTGGAAAAACTTTTGGAATTTTCCGAGTACTAAGAGTACTATGCTGAATACATGCAAATATAGTGATATATAGGCATTACATTAGGTATTTTAAGTAATCTGGAGATGATTTAAAGTATGTGGGAGGATGTTCAAAGGTTATATGCAAATACTATGCCATTTTATATAAGGAACTTGGGCATCCTTGAACACTGGTGCCCATGTTGGTCCCGGAAGTAGTTCCCTCATGGATACCAAGGGATGACTGTCCAGTGTTGACAAGTCACAGAAGAAGAGCAGTTCTCCTTCCTGGAGGAATGAAGGGGGAGAATAGTCAGGGAAAGCCTCAGAGGTGGAGTAACATTGAGAAAAACACTTCCCTAGATACCTAGGTATCTTCTACCCCAGATAGAAATGGCATGAAAAAAAGCACAGAAATCCCAAACACAGGGCATACTGGGTCCAACTTATCTGGTTAGACTCAGAGGCACCTGCAGGAGACAAGATGAAAATGCACCTGGGAAGGGAGACTAGGGCCGGGATGGGAATGAAGCTCGTTTTAGCACCAGCTAAGAAATCTGGACTTCATATGGTAGTAGGAATGCACTGAAGCACTCAATGTTTTTAAGCCAAAAAATAATGTGACTATGGTTGGGCTTTTAAAAGGGTAACTCTAGAAGCTTGCAAATATTGATTTTTATCAAGAGTACATGTAGAAATCATCTGGGAAGCTTTCCGTAAAGTAAGATACCCAAGCCCTCCCCTCGGTTTGGTAAATCTGAATTTCTAGGAGAGAATTCTTTCTAAATAACTATTTAAAAATAATTTATGGAAGACAGATTTGGAAAGAGGAGGGCATGGAAGCTGAGAAGCTAGGCAACTGTCTAGCTCAGTGATGATGAGGGTGGAGAGTGGTAACGGTGAGGTAGAGACAAAAGGAAAGACGTGGTGACTAAGTCCCAGGGTCAGGGAGTGAAGAATAACTGAGATTCTTCACCTTGGCTACCAGGGAGACAGTGATGTCAATATCCAAACTAGGAAACACATGAGTAGGAAAAAGGAATTGTGTGTTTGACTGGAAGGGGACAGAATGAGCAGGAAGGAAGGCTGAATAGGATTTTAGTTTTGAAACTGTTGGATTTTAAGTGCTATTGGTGAGTAAGAGCATGAAACCCAGGTAAAATGTCAAGTTTGAAAGAATTTTAGTGTCATGCAGTGGCTGTTCATCTGAGGGTTCTGATCACTATAAAGCTGCATTTATATTTACTGTTTTTGGATGGAGGAGGATAGGTTTGGGGAAATATCCAGTAAGAGGGTGGCTTACAATGCATAGTTATTGCGTAGATACATCTACTGCAAAGTAAAAATTTAGCTCACTGGTAGAAATTATTTCCTTTGTGATTAGACAACTTCAATTTTTCTGTGGATACTCTGAAAGACAGACTAACCTACAATTAAAATTTCTACACAAACAGCTGGGTGCCCGTAGCTCAGTGATTAGGGCGCTGGTCACATGCACTGGGGCTGGTGGGATTTGAACCCAGCCCAGGCCTTCTAAAAAACAAACAAACAAAAAATAAATAAAATTTCTACAAAATCGCTCTTAAGGGTTTTAAAATTATCTCTAAGAATA